CTTTAGCTCTCTGGCTGCTGGAGAGAAGATTCTCTTCCAGGGCACACTTGGAAACTTTTAAACTGTTGATTTTAATCTGGGGCTTGTCAATTTTATCATTAAGCTCATTGTTTATCTTCATCACTTTATCCAGAGATGCTAGAAGTAACCAGCCAGCATCACAGCCAGCATCATTATTTTTCTTATTTTTCCACAAATTATCAAATGTTTGATGTATATAGTCCTAAATTCCTTGCTCCTCACAAGAGGTGAGTTAAAAGACTCAAATGCATTTATCTTCATAATTGCTTCAAATAGTCTACACCATGGATGGTCAGTGTTCTCCATGCTACCTGAAGACTCTGAGTTGGAGAGCCTGCTCCAAATACCAACAAGCCCATTAAGGAAAGTCATACTTTCAATTCTGTTTCTCTAGAACCATTACTGGTACCACTATCTGTATTAGTCAGGGTTCTCCAAAGAAACAGAGCAGGTAGAATGAATATATATGTATAGAGATTTATCAGCTTAGCTCACAGGATAGAGTCCAAGTAATGAATAACAGACTCCAACAATGGCTGTACCACACTGGAGAGGCTGAGAATCCACAGTCACTCAGTCCATGAGGCTGGATGTCTCAGTAGTCCCAATCTGGCACTGAAGGTCTGACAAATTCCAAAAGATCAGCTAGTCTTCAGTCTACAGCAGCAAGACAACTCACCAGTGAGAGAGAAGGCAAGCAGCAACGAGCCAGGTGTTCTCCTCTGCCATAGCCTTTTATATGGGCTGCCATCAGAAGGTAACACCCACATTTAGGGTGTGTCTTCCAGCTTCAGATGATCCAATTAAGAAGATCTCTCTCACTTCAGTTAATCCCAGATCCAGTCAAATTGACATCCAGGATTAGCCATCACACTATTGTAGAGACACTTGTATGACCATCTTTGTTGTTGCTCTTTTCACAATAGCTAAGAGATGGAAGAAACCTAAACGCCCCTCAACTGAAGAGTGGTTAACAAAAATGTAGTGTATTTACACAATGGAGTTCTATTCAACATTAAAGAAAGATGAAACAATGAAATTTGAAGGTAAATGGACGGATCTAGAAACTATTATACTAAGTGAAGTAACACAGACTCAGAAAAAGAAACGACGTATGTTCTCCCTCATATGTGGACCCTAGCACCAAATCCTTTTAAATTCCAGGTCTTTTTAATAAGATTATGCTATACAGCAGTCCCTTCTGCATGAAATAACTACCATCCTCACAACTTTAGCTGAGCCTGATCACTAACCATCGTTACAATTCGGTTTGTTTATGATTGTACTCATTCATTAAAAGAGGGCCAAGCAGGGTCATTGGACCCTCACTGGATTATCCAGCCACTCTTCCCTGCCAACTCTATATAATTTGGCCCTAATAACACATGGCCTCCTGAATTTGGGGAGGGCTAAAGTATACAATTTGGGGAAGGCTAGGAAGAGAAGGCATGACCCATAGTGGGTAAAGGCTTTCCAGTGTGCATACCCTCAGGTCTTACATACACCTCAGCAACCCCTCAGTTATCTCAGTAAGCCATAAATTCATTGCTTCCCCAGTAAAACTTTAGTCAAACATTGACTTGACACTAGAACTTCAAAAGGGTTTATGCTTTGCTTAGCATTTCCAGGAAAATAAGTCCAACAACAGATGGAAAATTTATTTGTTAATGCTATTATGTCTCATAATTATTTTAAAAGAAAAAAATGAGAATGTAAAAGATGTTAAAAAGATATAAGAATGGAGATATTTTCCAAAATAGAAAAAAAAATGAGAAAGCCTAAGCAAGTGATGAAGGTTTGTATAGGTTTGTTATGATATATAAAGGATGAGAAAAAATAATATACACATAATCTTAAAATGTCTATGGTCAACTAGTTTAAGGAACAAAATACATATCTAGTCAAGGTTTATCTCAGAATATTTGTTTTTTTACCCAAGCCTAATCTACATAGCACATGGTAATTAAAAGTACCAGACTGGTGGAACTATCTTTCTTGGATGTCTAACAGCCATATTTCAAGGCCTATAGTAATGTGCTCAGAGGGACTCAAAGGACAGTTTTTCCCCCTTACCCTCCAAGGTCTACTAAGTTCCAGGGGACTATGGAGCATCTCTCAAAATGTCTTGTAACTGTGATGACTCACCTGTCCTCTTGTTCAGGGAGCACATGAGACCCGATGAGATGGACTTGAACCAGTGTCCAGTCTAGAGAGAGGAAGGTGAACTCAGAGGAAACTTCCCATTCATGTTTCCAAGTGAATCCAGACATGGTCGAGCAGGACCTTTGACTTATCTTCAAATAGATGGAACTGGTAAAAGAAAGGAGCCAGGAGCTCTTCCCAAGCCCATGTGACTGCTGAGGAACAGATCCTGAAATGACCTTAAGTGTAAAAATAAATTGATTTATTTGGGCCAACTGTATGGTCTTAAACACTTGAAAGGAACGTATAACCAAAGAGTAAAATCATCCATATATTTCCTTAAGAGTTCAAAGGATTACACTTCCCAGACATTAGGCTCGTCTACATAAAAATTATTTCGACAATTTTTTCTCATTGATGATTTTGTTCTTAACCAGAAAGCACTGGTCAGATATAAGTCTTCAAATCTTAGTCTCCAATACTGTAGGGCCCACTTTTAGCTAAGGAAGACAACCCACTATTGTTTTAAAATGATGGATAAATATGTTTTCTCCCCCTATCTAGAAGACTTTGAGAGGGACCTGACACTGATTATAAACACTCCAATGGCTATCAAAATACCTGAAAGCAAATCCTGAGTCCATAACTCCAGCCTTGGAAGACAAAAGAAAAATGAGGAGGAACCCAAATAGAGGGATGCTTTTGGAAGTCCTTGTCAAGAATTTCCAGTGGACTCTCATATGAACATTTGAAAATTGTCCTGTTCTGACTTTTTTTCTAGTTCCCTGTCTAGAACTTGAAATTCGAATTCCTCTTGCCTTTACTTCTCCTTCACATCTCCTATTCACAATTCAAGGAATTTTTTCCCATTAGAGATAAGAGTTATGCAATCTGGGAGTCTTTTAGATAGACCCACTGAAGGGTTACTCCAATTGCCTCACCCTGCATCCCTGTTCAGCATGGAAGAAGCCAGAGGGGTCTGCATCCCGATTCCCTATTGGCAATTTGGGTAACCTCCTTAGAGGATGGTGTGATAAGAATAGGAGGTAGGAATTGGCTAGGCAGTTAGGGTAAAAAGACCCCAAAGAAAAGTAGCCAGTTTCTTGGCTAAAACTCACAATGTCCTTGGGCCTCTTAGCAACATACTCCATTCTGAAGGCCAAAAATGTCAAAAATATTTGGGAGCTTGTATCTAATCCTTAAAAGATTTTAGGGTTACCTTTCAGAGAGGGGAATGTTAGAGCAGCCAAAAGCCCCATTAGGAAAAAATAAATAAATAAAAGAAGAAGAGCAAAAAGGAAATTAAGAATAAAATAAATACCACTTATTTTTAAACAAACAAAAAAGATGTTCTGTATGAAGTATACAAAAATTTGATAAAAAATTTACAAAAAATAAAATATTATTTTTAGATTCACAGCAATTTTCATGATCCAGGGGAATTCTTAGTTAACTTGTATATGTAGAAATAGATTTAAATTCTATAGCAAAAATATCTCTCAAGACTATATATGTAGATATATGCATACATATATATATAAACATACATATATATGACAAGATAGCTGAATAATATGTATTTTATATTCATATTTCTTAACCAAATTAACTATAATAATTTTAAGGGTAATTATACAGTATGACTAATATTTCTTCTTATAAAAATGATTGATTTAGCATAAGTGAATTTGTTATTGCATCTAAATTTGAAAAGGAATCATATGATCTTCTCATCAATAGATGTAGAAAAAAATCTATTCTTTTTGGAGGCAGGAGACATTTAGGTAGGTATAATAACATAAGCAGAAGGTGAAAATTTTGGAAAAATAGAAAAGTTTGCTTATATAGAGAGATGATGTATAAAATATATATATCAAACATGCTCTTGCCAAACTGAAGTCTATGTGCCATGTTTGAACTGCATTTTTCGTTTAAAAGTGGAAGAGTGAAAATTTAAAACTTATGCTTACCTCAAAAGCCTCGAGAAAAAATGATAACCACATTGTGCAAATTTGATCATTTTAGGATTCATCAAAACAAGAGAAAGTAAAATTTTCTTAATTAGAATACATGAGAGAACATGATCCCAAGGGCATGTGTGCGTTTCTGTCCCTACTTAAGAGAAGGTGAATATTTGAGTAAATATAAATATTTTGGAAATACGGGGACTTCCTGAGAAAAAGAAGAGTGTATTTACCACTGAGATTTAAAAAACATAGGCTTCCTTCTCATAGACTGTTGATGAAAATCTTCACAGGTGCGCTATAATTGTGGTGTTTCAGTACTTTAGGTAAGATTTGCTTTAAATTTGAGGTTTAAGATCATTTGATAATAAGGAAACATGAAATTCTGAGCTTTTTATTTTATTGTGAGATACTATCTACAGCTTGTGTATCCCTAGCTTTGCTATTAAACAAAATTAGATATAAGTCAAATGATGGTCTGTGAAGGGCCATATAGTGCTAAGCATGCCCGATCTTATTTCAAACAGGGACAATGGTATTACTAACAAAATCATTGATTTCATATAGTATTTAAAAGCAGCACAAATATAAATTTGAAAATACAGAAGCTTATTTGGCTCAATACATTTATTCATTAAAGTTATGTATTGTTGGTAATAGAAGTGATGCGGGTGGCTGACTTGAGAAGCTGGGGTACATATGAATATTTACCCTTAGAACTTAGATAAGTAGCATTACAAAAATGTGATGAGCACTGTCAAATTATATTAACTTAATCATATAGGATGATAACATAATGAAGAAGAAAGTTTAATTATTGTTTCTCATGTTCTTTTATCACTTCCTGAAGCCCTACTAACTTTCATAGACAGAATGAGGAAATACTCAGAGATTCAAATTTTCCATACATCATCACAAACAGACAATACAGTAAGGAAACCATATTGGTGCAAAAGTGAATTGTATAAGAAATGGAAATTCACACACCTCAGAAAGTAGGTCAATGTCCTGTGAGGATTAATTTTGTTTTAATAAATTAAATTAATTCACTTTTTAACCCAATATATGGGAAGCATTTGTGGAGAAATTATGGGAGACAATTTTGGAATTAATCTTAACTTTCTATATTCATAAATTACATGAACGTTTTGAAGAGCAACAATAATATGTGTATCTATGCCTTGTAAACAGGAAATGATTTAACAGAATTGTGTTACTCTAGTAAAAAAGGAAGAACTCAAAATTGACCTTGTGTAAGAATTAAAGAAAAACTTAAAGGGAAGGTTTTTAGATTGAAAAAAAAATGGTAGAAATGGATGCCTATATCTCAAAGAAATATGTGTGGATAAAAATACAAAAGGCACATATTTAACAAAATCCCATGGACAAAATACGAACATATTGCACTGTCACAGTGTTCAACTATTGGTAATATTTAATTAGTAATAACTTTTGGGAAATTAATTCTAATAAAATATCATTTATTTCTTGTTTTCATTTTACTACAGATTAGTTCATTTTCATTATAAATCTCATCAGAGACAAACCAAAGTCATGGGGAATAGTAATTTAAGAGCAAATACAAGCATACGTATGCATCTCTGAGTCAACAGAAATGAATAAAGCATGCTGACTTTATCATGTCTGCAGATACACAGTATATTAAGACAGAAAAATCAAATATCACAACAATTACGGAGTTTATTCTCCTGGGATTTTCCGATGTTCCCCAACTCAAGTGGTTTCTGTTTGGGATGTTTTTCCTTGTGTACTTGGCTATTCTGATGTGCAACAGCATTATAATTCTAGTAACGAGAATGGACCCCGCTCTTCAAACACCAATGTATTATTTCCTAAACAATTTTTCTTTTGTGGAAATCTGTTATGTAACAGTCACTATCCCAAGAATGCTCATGGACATTTGTGCCCCCAAAGGAAACATCTCTCTGTTGAACTGTGCAATACAAGTGTGGTTTTTCTTTACCTTTGCAGGTATTGAGTGCCTCCTCCTAACAGTGATGGCCTATGACCGCTATGTGGCCATTTGTAAGCCTTTGCTCTATGCTTTGATAATGAACCACAGGGTGTGTGTACAGCTGGTGGCTGCCTCTTGGGTCAGCGTCATTCTAGTTGTGACTGCACAAACATACCAGATATTCTCATTGTCCTTTTGTGGATCTAACAGAATTAACCACTTCTTCTGTGATGTTCCACCTATCCTCAGGCTTGCTTGTGAAGAGACATTTGCGAATAATTTAGCGATCTTCATTGTTTCTGCAGTCCTTATCATGGTTCCATTTCTGTTGATTACTGTGTCCTATGGGAAAATTATATGCAGCATTCTGCAGCTGTCATCAGCTGGAGGGAGGTCTAAAGCCTTTTCCACCTGTTCCTCTCATCTGACAGTTGTAGTCTTATACTATGGAACATTTGCTATTACTTACATACGACCCAATCCAAATGCATCTGAAGGAGTTGGAAAAATAGTGTCTCTTTTCTACACAGTTTTGAGCCCCCTACTGAATCCCATTATATACACGTTGAGGAACAAGGAGATCTCTGCAGCACTGAGTAAACTGCCCAAGAAGTTATTAACATAAGGAAAGCACAGCTGCAGAATTTCCTCATGGCAAAGTCAGGTAGCTACAGCAAAACAGGCTATCTCCCTTTATGTGCTCCAATCAAGGCCATATTGTGACAAAAATGTTTATTATGTCAAAGCACATTCTAATGAATGAGCTAAAGACTTCTATGTCATCAGAGTCCTATTTCAGTCAGCTGTAAATAGTTCATTTCTGTGAGCACTGTTACCTCTTAATAGTTAATCCCACAAGTTTAGAGACAAACAACTGCTAAACAGTGAAAGGAAGGTGAATGTCACAGAGGCATGGATGCTTTTGCTTGTCACATATTTCTTTTTTGTTATATATTTTATTGAATTTTTGCACATTTCATACAATATGTCAATAATATTTAGACCCCCTCCACCATCTGTTCTCCCCATAGTCAGACACAACAGATTTTATGTATTCTGTCATATATTATGTTAAAGCATAACCAATCAAGTTTGTGTACCCAGATCCCTTTGTGTTTATTCATCCACTGAATTCTAGTCAGTCTATCTAGGTTGGGAGGCACAGCCCATTTCCCCAGTTCTATGCTTAGTTTTTGTATGATTAAGTTTTCAAGTGTGTTGTGCATGCTGTTATCATTGCTGGAAGTTTATATGAACAAGTTTCTAGAAACCTGGAAGATTGTTTTCTTATAATCATACACCAGCCCTTGCCCTTAGAATCCACCCCCACACACACACACGCATACACACTTCTGCAATGGGTCCTGAGTCATGGATGGGTGAGTTTGAAAGTAGGAGTCTTATCCAGGGACAGACACTATGCAGTCTCTTATTCTCTAAAACTTAACCAGTTGAGACCTTCTGTTTGCATTGCACTCTGCTGTATGAGGAAGCTTTGTTTGTTAGAGTTGAGGGATACTTTGTTATTCCCCATGCCCCCTGTTACACTATGTTCCATGAGCCTTAGTTGTACAGTTTCCATTGTAGATGTGTCACTTAGGGCTGGGCACTTTTCAGACATGTATTGTTTGTGTTTATCAGTTGTGAAAGCTGTAATATTGTCCATCTGTTGCAAAATGTAGCTTCTTTCATGTGTAGTGAATGGTAAGCTTTTGTGTAATTATAAGGACCAATGTATAGCACTCAGTAATTAATTACAATTGTCTAAGGATATGACAGATGTAGCGTTTTCTCTCTGATCTTTGACCTCTCCAACCATGTGAATTTGGCTACATTTACAGTGCCACACCTGGTTGTACCTATTATTGTATCTGTAATGAGAAAACTTGGTGTGTGAAGGCCTGAGTTCTGACCTGAAATAAACTCAGACCTAGACCGGGAAACTTCAGTTCCCTGAGAACTTGGATGTTCTTTTACAGTGATTTCTATCATGACACTGACAGTTCCTTGAACCCTATTAAACGTACATAAGTAAGCTTGTATAATAAGGCTGTGTAACTAATAAAGTTATAAGTAAAGAACAGAATGTTTAATAGGCATGGAAGGATAGGTACGATTCCAAAAAGGGCTGAGCCCTGGGAACACAAAGGTACTGCAAATATCATAAAGGTATTGTAAATATAATGATGAGATAATTTGGCTTGAGAAGAACATTTTCTTTTCCTCTTGTTGTACTATAAATAAGGATGATCCTTAGAATAAAGCATGCATTAGTTCACACGCCTCTGCATCCCCTGCGTCCTGATTTCTTCTGCGCCTATACCTCAGGGCCCCCAAGCCTTCAGGCTTGAATTGTGGTTGTCCTGATTTCTTCTGCGCCTGTACCTCTGGGCCCCCAAGCCCTTCAGGCTTGAATTGTGGTCACTGACTGGTGACAGCTGGCGCCCGAACAGGGACCCCGATATTGCATTAAGAAAAGGTGTTCAGGATAGAGTTGCAGGTAAGTACAAGTCACCCAGAGGAGGTGGCGGAGTCTTGGCCAAGTAAGTACAGGTCATCCAAAGGAGGTGATGGATAATTTGACCAGCTGGTATTGGTTGGCAGCTGCGGTTGGGTTATAAAAATTATTGCAGGGTAATGGGACAAGGTAAGTCTACTCCTTTTGTTTCTTTAATTCATCATATTCTTCACAGCAATGGTGCACAAGTTTCCAGAAAACAGATATATAATTGTGTGCAAAGAGTTGTAGAGTTTAATTCATGGTTTCCTGATACAGGAACTTTAGATTTAGAAGTATGGGACAGAGTCAGAACAAATGTGGAAAAGGCATTTCAGACAGGAGAAACAATACCACTTGATTTTTGGTCTGTGTGGGCACTCATCAGAACAGCTATTATACTAATTAATCAAGGTGCAAATAGTTTGTCACAAACTCAGGTGTTTTATACTTCTAATGAAGCAGTTAATCTTTATGATGCCCCAGAGGATTTAAAAAATAAATTTGCTAAGGAAGTTCAAGAGGCTACCTCTTCAGAGGCTACGCTAGCTGCCTTTACAAAGAAGGTGAAATTCAAATTTTGATTACTACCAATAGCTCATATCCTATTACAATAGGACTTTAACTCATAAATTACTAAGAGTCTTTAGTTTCTCTTTGCTTGGTTCCAAGTTCTCAGAGATCAGCAAAATTAATGGCACAAGCGGCTGACTTTAGATCTGACTCCAAAATTGCTAGGTCAAAAGCTGCATTTCCAGTTATTCAACATCTCTCTGTTAATGGAATTGAGGTTTCTGAATTCTCAGAAGGAATTGGAAATGAAACTAAAGTGTTCATTGTGGGGCTGAAGGACATTTAAAGAGACAGTGCCCTAAGGTATTGTCTCGACCACCAGAAAAATGTCCCCGCTGTCGCTGTAGTGTGCATTGGGCTCGAGTTTGTACATTATTCAAGACAGGAACCGGAGCCTTCCTCAGGCCCCCTCATAGATGATCTGGGGCAATTAACTGTCCGTTTCCTCAATCTTGTTGTGTAGCCTCAAATCTTTCCTCAGCCAAAACTGTAGATTAAAAGTAAAGTAGTATGATGTCTCTTTGCATTTTTCTTTTAGGTACTATTGTTTTCTGTGCTTTTTATTCCTCTAATGAGATAGCGTATATATCCCCAATTGGTGTAGTTTTAATAAGAATATTTGAGAACAATAGATGACTTGGGAATACTAATTGGCTTCATCCTGTGTTGTATAATTTATTTCAAATCCTTCAAGCAGGAGTTTAATTATTTTTAAGATCATTTTCTGTTCTTGCTTGCACAAATTAATACATTACATAATTTGGCAGGATCTGAATTCTTGGGTGAGGCTGTGTAGAGTTTTGGCAGGTAGTTTTTAGGATCAGGGCATAGCTGCATTAAGCTGTAGTCCAGCATGGAGCAGCTGAGCCCTGTCTTGGAGTTATTATGCCGTGGACTCGACAGTCTTATCAAATTTAAACCCAAAAAATGAAGTTTTAGTCTTATATCCTGCTAAGCTGCACAAAAATATTTAATTATAATCTTGAAAAGTGTAGCTGTTTGACTTTTCTTTGATTGCTTTAGGGACTTGTAATTTTATAACTTATAGATATAAGATGTCTGTTTTA